AGAAATGTTGAGAGCGCGAGCAACACATTGCGAGCAAGAGCAAGTGCAAAAACTGAGCGAGAGGGGCTGCTGTTGTGTGTGTGTGTGTGTTTGTACAAATACATCACACCTGATTTAACCATGTGCTTGTAACATTGCATTTCTCTCTGTTGTATCAGTCTCTGCATTCAGGATTGTGCTGCTGGGCAAAAGTGAAGATAAGAAGACAAAACTTGGTAACTTCATCATTGAGCACCAAGGATTTCACTGTCAAAAACTCATTCACTGTGTGGCCTCCTGTGGAGAGTGGAGAGGAAAACTACTGACAGTAGTCAAAACTCCAGACTTGTTCAGTCTGTCTGAGGAGGACATGAGAAGAGAAGTGGAGAGCTGTGTGAGTCTCTGTCATCCTGGACCAAATGTTCTGCTGCTGTTGGTGAAACCTTCTGATTTCACTGAGGAGAACAGAACTACTCTGAAGTTCATCCTGAGTCTGTTTGGTCACAATGCCTTTAAACACTCGATGGTCGTCATCACACATGAGAATGAAATGAGTTCCACTGTGAATGAAGTCCTCAGAGAATGTGAAGGAAGGTACTACAACATGTTTGAAGATAACTATGGATCGTTAATGGAGAAGATTCAGGAAATGACAAATCAATACAATCACCTGATCAAACCATCTTTAAACCTGGTTCTGTTTGGGAGGAGAGGAGCAGGGAAGACGTCAGCAGCCAAGGCCATTTTAGGTCAGACTGAGCTTCATCCAGCCTCCAACTCATCAGAGTGTGTTAAACATCAGGGAGAGGTGTGTGGACGTTGGGTTTCCCTGGTGGAGCTGCCTGCCTTGTATGGAAAACCTCAGGAGGCAGTGATGGAGGAATCACTCAAGTGTATCTCCCTCTGTGATCCTGAGGGTGTCCATGCCTTCATCCTGGTCCTACCTGTGGATCCCCTCACTGATGAAGACAAGGGAGAGTTAGAGACCATCCAGGACACATTCAGCTCTCGAGTCAATGACTTCACCATGATTCTGTTCACCGTGGACTCAGATCCTACAGATCCAGCTGTTGGTAACTTTATAAAGCGAAACAAGGACATCCAGGAGCTCTGTGAGAGATTTGGAGGAAGATCAGTTGTTCTCAACATGAAGGACAAACGGCAGATCCCACAGCTGTTAGATACTGTGGAAAAAAATAGAACAAACAAGGAAAAAAACTGCTGTTACACAAAAGACACATTGATATATGGCAAAATGGATGAGATATCATGTCAGCAGAAAAAATTAACTACTCTACAGGAACAGCTTCATGTGATGGAGACAAAGCTCACAGTAACTGGTAAGCACATCTGTGATTTCATTTAAGTTTGACTACTATACACATGAAACTCAAAAAATTAGAATAACGTGGAAAAGTTCATTTATTTCAGTAATTTAACTTAAAAGGTGAAACAAATATATGATATTGACTCATTACTTGCAACGCAAGATATTTAAAGCCTTTATTTGCTATAATTTTGTTGATCATGGCTTTCAGCTTATGAAAAAGCCCAAATTCAAAAGCTCAGAAAATTAGAATATTGTTAAAGGTCCAATATTTTAGGTTTAAAGTGTCACACTATAATCAGCAAATTAATCCAAAACACCTGCAAAGGGTTCCTGAGCCTTTAAATGGTCTCTCAGTCTGGTTCAGTAGGAATCATGATCATGGGGAAAACCATCAGAGACACCCTCCATGAGGGAAAGCCTCGGAAGTTAATTGCAAAAGGGTTTGGATGTTCCCAAAGTGCTGTATCAAAGCACATTAATAGAAAGTTATGTGGAAGAAAAAGATGCACAAGTAGCAGGGATGACTGCATCCTAGAGAGGATTATTGGGAAAAGGCCATTCAAAAGTGTGGGGACCTTCACAAAGAGTGGACTGAGGCTGGAGTTAGTGCATCAAGAGCCACCACACACAGGTGGATCCTGGACACGGGCGTCAAATCATCGTATTCCTCTTGTCAAGCAACCCTGAACAACAAACAGTGTGAGAAGCTTGTTACCTGGGCTGAAGGAAAGAAAAGAACTGGTCTCTTGCTCAGTGGTCCAAAGTCCTCTGTAAGAGTCCTCTCATGAGACAGAACCATGCAGAAGAGCTGAAGGTTGCTACTGAAGTATCCTGATCTTCCACAACACCTCAGCAGTGCCACAGGCTGATCCATGCCACGCCGCATTGAGGCAGTAATTAACTGATATAAAATAAATGAACTTTTGCACAATATTCTAACTTTTTGAGTCTCACCTGTATAGTGTTCTCTCACAGTGCATAATTATTATCAAGTAAATTTGGCATTATTTAATTCTCTACATGCTTCTTTTACAGGTGATCCTGAGGAGCAGAATATACAGTCTCTCAGGATCGTGCTGATTGGGAAGACTGGCAATGGAAAGAGCTCTTCAGGAAACACCATACTAGGAAGAAAAGAATTTAAAGCTGCATCAAGTCACACATCAGTCACACAGTGTTGTCAAAAAGCACATGGTGAAGTGGACGGTCGTCCTGTTGCTGTGGTCGACACTCCTGGACTGTTTGACACAACTCTGTCAAAAGAAGAAGTTCAGGAGGAGATGGTGAAATGCATCAGTCTTCTGGCTCCAGGACCACATGTCTTCCTGTTGGTGTTACAGATTGGTCGACTCACAGACGAGGAGAAAGAGACTTTAAGGCTCATCAAGGAAGTCTTTGGCAAGAATTCAGAAATGTTCACTATTGTTCTTTTTACAAGAGGAGATGCACTGCAAAATGATGAAACGTCCATTGAAGAGTACATTGAAAAGGGATCTAATGCTTCCTTTAGAAAACTTATTTCTGACTGTGGAGAAAGATACCATGTGTTTAATAACTATGATAAGCAAAATCAAAAACAAGTCAGTGAGCTGATAACAAAGATTGACGCCATGGTGAAGGACAACAGAGACAGCTACTTCACCAATGAGATGCTGCAAGAGGCTGAAGCTGCAATACAGAAAGAAATGAAGAGAATCCTGAAAGAGAAGGAAGAAGAGATGAAGAAACAGAAGGAGGAGCTTGAAAAAACATATGAGGAGAAAATTCAGTCTATGAAAAAAAGAATGGAAGAACAGAGAGCAGAAATTGAACAAGAGAGAGAACTCAGGGTCAGACAGCTTAAAGAAAAGGAGGAAAACATACGAAAGGAGCGAAAGCAGAGGAAGAGAGAACAAGAAATTAGAAATGATGAAGAAAAGAAAAGAAAAATGCAGGAAGAACGTCAACAACAGGAGTGGGAAAAAGAACGAGAAGCTCTGGAGAAAAAGATCAAGTCAGAATCAGAGGAAAAGGAAACAATTGACAGAAAACTGGAACAGAGTAGAAAAGAGATGGAAGAAAAACGAGAGGCCTGGGAGAAGGAAAAAAACAAATGGTGGGAAAAGCGACACCAAGAAGACGACAAGAGACGTCAGGAGGAGCGAGAAAAACTAAAAAAGCTCCAGGAAGAGTATGAAGAGGAAAAAAGAAAATATGACCATCAACGAAAGGAAGAAGACCGAAAGAGAAGTGCACAAGAAGAGAAGGAACGAAAAGAACTGGAGGATAACTATAAGCAAAAAATGGAAGACATGAAAAAGAGTTATGAGGAGGAGGCAAGAAAACAAGCTGAAGAGTTCAATGAGTTCAAAGAAAAATACACCAAAGACCTTCAAGCTCTGATGTTAAAACATGCGACAGAACTGAAGGATTTAATGCAACAGCATGAAACAGAGGTACAACAGAAAGAAACAGAAATGCAGCAGAAAGAGAAAGAACACAGCGAACAGTACAGGGCCTTAGAAGAACTGTCAAAACGCAAAGAAACCACACTCTCAGAGATGATTTGGAGAAAAAAGATGAAGAACTAAAAGGAGAAAAGGATGACAAAAAGAAAATTGTAGATGATAAAAAGGCAAGAGAAGAAGAAATAAAAAAACTGAAGGAACAACAACAAAAAGAAATAGATGATTTTTATATCATACATGTCATGAAGATCAAGAAGTGCACAATCTGTTGATCGTCCATCCTAACAACAAATATTTTATTCACCCGTGTTACAGCTGGTTAGCACCCACCCACCAGTATCTATAGCTCTCTGTAACTCAGTAACAGTAAGTCATGTAGTTGTATTTACATCCTTTTTTCTCCAGTGTATTTGGAAATTTTTGTTTATTGGAGTAACTAAAAAAAATAACTTTAATTAAAAGAAAGCTTTGTATATAACATTTGTCTTTCATTGTATACCACTTTAATGTTACAGTTTTAAGTGTCTTTTAAAAACATTACTTTTTTTATTAGTTATTGGAGAAACTATATGAACTAACATTAACAGTCACATGACCTTTTTCTTTTTTTTAATTTGTTTTAGGGAAATTTAAACAAAGTTTGTGAGGCAAGCTGCCTCGACCGGATGGGACAAAAGACATTTTGTGGAAGAGAACCAGAGATTAATGATATTTTGTAGTTGTAGTAATGATGATGATAATAATAATAATAATAATAGGTTAATAAGAACTGATAATTAAATGCATAGTGAGAGAAAAAGATGACAGAAGAAGAAATACTCAATGCATCATGGGACTCCCGCAGCAGCCTACACCTATTGCAGCATAACTAAGGGAGGATTCAGGGTCACCTGGTCCAGCCCTAACTATATGCTTTGGCAAAAAGGAAAGTTTGAAGCCTAATCTAGGAATCCTCTAGGATCAACAAGTAAGCCTGCAGTCTGAGTGAAGCGCTCTCAGACCTGTCATGTCAAAAATGAATTTTACTCTGTCAGTTATGAGAATGTAAAAAGTGCGTCTTCTTTGACATTCTCATCCTCTTTAGCTGATAATGATTTCAGCATGTTATCCACAAGCTCAACATAATTTTCTGCTGTGTGATTTCCAAGAAAGTTCTGGAAAACCTACACAATGCTTCCAAAAAATGCTGCTTATTCAGTTTGCTTCAATTTCTTTTTGAACTTACCAAGCATCAGTTAATGGATTTCAACAAAAACAAACTAACACCTTTTCTTATATTTTGGTTTCACTTTTCTAGACATCAGACTTATTTCTTAAGTGCTGAAATTCATAACTAAAAGCAGGACTTGCTTTTAGTCAAGCAAAGAAAAAAAAGAAAATTTCAGATTTGAAATCAGCGAGTTAATTTTGTTAATCAGTGAAACTGTGACGCTTCCAGACTATTTTAGACCAAATGTCCAAAATGACTCCTGACAGTTTTAGTTTTTATTCCTTCAGTTGCAGACTTGTTGTTATTTTCAGTTGCAGACTTGTTGTTATTTGAAGAATTTGAGAATAATGATTAAACATGGTAAATGACTACCGTCCAGTAGCACCGACTTCAATTGTGATGAAGTGTTTTGAAAGACTGATGAGAGATCACATCACTTCTTCACTTCCTGCTACCATCGACTCACTTCAGTTTGCTTACCGGACTAATCGTTCCACAGACGATGCCATA